GCAGTTGCCTAAAATACCGCCATCTGCAAAAAGATAGCCTGTTTAGCTGTTTCATGTTCAAAATAAATATAAGTAATCAATGATAGGTTGAAAAAACACAAACTTTTAAAATGCAAAAAGGTTAATGGATATATTAACAGGCAATTCATGCTTTTAGGGGAAAGTAACTTTGATATTTCAATATTTATACGTTTCTTGGTTGCTTATAATGCATCGTCCATTGACTAAGAAAGTGAAAGCTATTATAAGTTAGCCGCTGAAAATGTTATTCAAACCGGGTCGAAGTATTTAATCCTACACATGTATCAAACTACATTATTTCTTTTAAATAAATTAAGACATGTTGCATATATATTTACTTACATTAATTTTTGATTTGGCAATTTTATCAATTCGTAACAACAATACTTACACTTCCTGAATAGTTAACATATTAGTTCATTGTAATATAAAGATGATTGATTGCTTGTTGGTGTTTAATGCAATTTTCAGGAATATGGGTACTAAAGTATTTTGCAGCGATCACTTTTATTGGTGGAGGCCAACGGAGTGCCAAAGGAACCTCCGACTTTCGGCAGGAACACTGGCAATCCCCGTAAAAATACATTAGTTATATTTATTAGTATCAAGGACGAAATTACTGTGTAGGTGTCACAACAAAAAATCTACCAAAAAGCATCAACAGTCCTTTGTAAAAGTAGGCAACCTCGACCAAACAAAGCAGTTTTGATATTAATGTTTACTTCAGCTACATGTTAGAAATAATTTTGCTTAATAGAAACTGAGATATAAATGAATTTGAACCACTTTTATTTCAAATTTAAATGGCCATGGTTTTGCATCAAAATTTCAATGTGGATGTGCCACACAATATTTTCATTTGAGGCATTCAGAATACAGAGCGCTATTTTAGTAGATCATCTGGCAAGCATTGATTGAACATTGACATATTAAAGATAGTGCATGTATATCAAGAATATATATGGTTAACTAAAATATTTATACAATTATGAGAAATGAAAATTTTTGTTGAATTTATCCAGTTTTTTAATTGGTTTTATGTCATCTAAACTCAAATTATGTTTGTGGATATTTAGTCTGCACTAAGCCCTCTGTTGTTGATCGGACAGCGACTTTTGGTGATTTTCTCACTTTATTTTAATTTTTGTTTTGTTTGGGTTTCTAATGGTGCGAAGATCTCACAACAATAATAAGTGATATTAGTTAACAATTGTATGTATCAGTGTAAACAACATGGGTTAAAACAATCTTACTAAAATTCAGATGTATCACGACTCGCCTGCTCATATATCTTATGAGTATAACGAAATCAGAGATCTACAATTTAATTAGATTGAGATTAGCTTTATGATATAGCTTAATAGCAGTTATGTAATGGTAAATTTGAAGTGCTAACTATTTTTAATTTTATTTGAATATGTGTATTATGAAAAAATCCCTTCATGCACCACCTCCATATGAGCACTTTCAAAACTTTGAACTTCATTAAAATCTACCCATCAATGTAGAAGCAATATTGCTCATTACAAAGTTTTTAGACTAACAGATGAATATAAGAATGGAAAAAAATAAAGAAAAAGGACGTAGGAAGAGAGAGAGAAAGAGAGAGAGAGAGAGAGAGAGAGAGAGAGAGAGAGAGAGAGAGAGAGAGAGAGAGAGAAATCCGTTTTGAATTTTCCTGTGAGTTCGCTATTTTTGTTATTTTACTTGACGAAAATAACAAGGAGGCAGTCTCAAACCATAGTCGAAGAAAAACAGATGACAGCATGACCAAGGTGAAAAAATTGGACAGAAAACAACACTCCTTAAAACACTTTACAGAAATGTGCGAACACTTCCTAAACCCACCACCGGGTTCGCAGTTGCTCAGGAAGGTTATTCAATCTTCCACAATATTAATTTTCAGTCAAATTTGATAAAACAACTAATACAATATATAATTATGGGCTAACATCAAAAGGAATTCGCCGGATTTGTTATTGAAAAGTGCATGGTACAAAGAGTTTTCATTCGAATACTCTGGAATCTTTCGTCCCTCTTTTTTGAACAAGAATAAATTTCGTAACATGACTTTCGACATCGGAAAACTATTTTTTATTTAATATATCTTGTTTGTTCTTTAAGGTACTTCAATTACCGTCTTTTCAAATATAGTTTATTATTTTCTGCCGATATTGACAATATAATCTAGCCAAAAAAAAAAAGGCAAAATGATCCCTATTTGCAGATGGTGTTTGTTTAGGTTAACTGCAAAAGCTTCATTAGAAGGTTGCATCCTGACCTATATCATATTAATTGCAGTTTAAAATGATGAAAAAATTCCCTTGGCCTATAAACGATATATTTATTCTATTTTTGACATATGAATATTCAAATATAAGGAAACATTTAGCTTTTACTGCAATTTTATCATTTTTGGAAGTTTTTTTTCAAGAAGTGCTATTTTCTGTAAATATTGGGCAATCAACATTTTAGTTTCCATTTGATTTGTAATAATGGTATTTTGTTTTATAAGGTTCAGATAATTTTTAGAAAAATAAAAATACAAGTACCAGGAAAGGGGATTTTGTTAAATTCTAGCAAAATTTAGGAATGTTCAGTTTTGACCTTTGACCTTGATTGATCGAAAATTGCACCGTACGAATTATTGTCGATCGGACAAAACAGAAAGTACAGTCAATAAACTTTCGAATGATATATAATATAGCCGTGTGTTAGGTGGGTGAATTAAAGTCGTTAACTAAGCGTCTCTTTGAAAACTGTCACTCGCCTAAATTTGACAGGAATTTTCAAATTGTGTATGCGATCGCCCTTGTTGTTTCTGGATCGTTTCGAGTAATTGAAGTTTTATACATTTGATATTGTTATTGTTTCTTCTTAAATGTTAGTAAATAATACTATGAATTTCTTAGTTTTTTGGAAGCGGTATAGATGTTCCTGTGCTCGTCTAAAATTATCCCGTCCTGTGTGTCCTACGTATTGTATACCACACTTTGGCCTTGTTCAAGTAACCAGATAAACGAGGCTTTGGGTTTTTCATGTAATGTCAAGGGAAAAGTAAAGCAAAAAAGCTTTCCAGTTTACTGTTGACCTAACAGTATTATTAGACGAGGAAAAAAATATCTGCAATATCTTTGTTAAGTTCTAGTTATTTTGGACTGTCATTTTTCTTTCCACAAAGGACTTTTTGAAATTTTTGAGGCAATTGTTTGGCAGAAGGCATAGTCATTTATATAAATAAATGAACACTATAACTCCATGAAATGTCACAAACTAGTTCTTATTTTTTTCTTTTTGGAGATTTCTGATTTTTCTTATTATCTATTCTGATGGCTTTAACTCCTTCTATTATATGTTTTCTAAGAAACCTTACTAATTCATCAACTTTAAGCACTGTTACGTTGTTATCTTCCCCAAACGGTAGTTTTTGTAAATTTTTACTATCATTGGCATTTTATGATCTGAAACAAAAACCCATTTTCTTTGAGTTATAGGGAATCGTGAACAGTAAAAAGCTTGACATATTTAATAGTCAAATGTCACTTGTTGAAAACTGTTATTTGACATCAAGATGGTTGTTTATTTTGTGTATATTTTTTCTCATGTCATATACCACACCTCTATTTTTATCAATCCCCCCTGGGATTTCCTTGAGCGCAGAGGGTCTAGGGTCCAATCCTTAGCCGAGTCAATGAAGCTATTAGTGACTTCTTTGCTAAGCATGCGGCACTTATATAATTATGAGAAAGAGAAAATACTTTTTGTCTTATATCAGAATAATATGTCTAGGTAAAGTGGTGTGTATTCCTGTGGACTATTACCTTGTGAAATAGTCCGTTAAAAATTTGTCTCAGTCAATTAATTTTGTACCAGATTGGATTCATATGCATATCACATTAAAATGTTTTGTCTTTTTATGATTATATAGTTTCTTAGTTTGATTAAGTAACAGGTAAATTAGGGGACGATCAATTGACATTTGGGTTTGGGTGGAGATGGGGGGGTTATTAAATTACTATACTAGTCAACCACAGAAACGATACAAGGCAATGTACTTCATATATAATGAAATTGGATACACTGTACCAAGGTAAATAATTGCCCAATTGGTCTATTATTTACAGTGTTATTTTCTTATAATAACAAATAGATTTAAGGCAAATACGAGAATTTTTTTTGGCAATTTTTGTAATTTCAAAAATCATATTTTCACCCAAAAATCGATATCAGAACTTAAAATTTGAAACTTAAGCATGGTCTGCTTTAAATTTTGAATGCCTTTGCACTTCCTGAATACTTCAGGTTGTATTGGAATTGTTCCTTTAATTAAGGACCTTGAGCATTCAAACATCAGAAAGAAAAAAAAACACATACACTGACATTCACATATTGTTTTATTGAAAGGTTAAACGTATACTATATAAAACAGTTGTGCTGAATATCATGCAATGGAATGTTTGGTCAACATAATGTAATTCAATTTTATTATAAAATAAATATTTTTTGATTATCAAAGAACATTCTATCAGAAATTATAAACCTAGGTTATTTCATATATACTCTGACAATTAACTTTGAGATCATGAACATAATCGATTAATGTAACAAAGAGGATTGTAACATTAAAAATGCGTTTCTTCTTTGCAAAAGAAGTAAAATAGCAAAATTACCAAAAATTCCAAGGAAAAATTCAACACGGAAAGTCCTTATCAAGAATCAAAAGTTCTAACTAATAAAACAAATAGAAAACAACTGTCATATTCCTGACTTGGTACAGGCATTTCTACATGTAGAAAATGGTGGATTAAACCTGTTTCTATAGCTAGCTAAACCTCTCACTTGTAAGACAGTGGCAAGGGAATTCCATTATGTTGACAACAATATCTTGCAACCGGACATAAATTGTTTTTCTTTAGTTTATGGTCAAAATCATACTTTCAATACTGAACAATAGTTGTTATTATTTCTTTTCTGTGTAGCTCAACATGGACAAGAAATAAAAGAATGGGAGGAAGAGGAGACTACCTTTGTCGAAACAAGAGCCACACTTCACATACTGGGATCTTTGCCCTTAAATAACTGTATTATTGTGACAGGGAGCTCGGGCTGTGGAAAATCGTCAAACATACATTATGCTGCATTACACTTACGTGACAGTTTTGAGTATGAGATAATACCTGTTTTAACAGGACCAACGGACATTATGAATTATTTTAATGAAAACAAAAAACAAGTCTTTGTTGTTGATGACATCTGTGGAAAGGAAACAATCAACAGACAGACGTTACACACATGGAGAGATGCATCAGACTACATGATGAAAATATTTAAAATTGCAGAAAATGATGTTGCAAATAAAAATGAAGACACTGTTTCAAAAATAACAAGTCCAAAATTATTGATTACTTGTAGACTGCATATATATAAAGATTCACAGTTTAAAGGATTCACATCACTAACACAAAAAGAATGCAATTTACTATCACCAGAGTTGTGTCTTCTGGAAGTGGAAAGGATGATTATGCTGCACCAGTACCTTCCAAATGATATAATTGACAATGTTAAACATGTCATAGATAACGTTGATTTCTTTCCCTTGCTTTGTAAAATGTCAAAAGACAAAACATCTGAAGAAGTCAAGAAACTTTTTACAGCTCCTTTAAACAGTATTAAAGATAACATAAACAATATCATTAATGAAAACAAAAATCAATTCTGTGCTCTTGCTCTGTGTATCTTATTTGACGGTGGATTCGATACAATTTGGTTAACATCAAGATCACCTTCAGAATTGAAGGACAAAATTGAAGACATTGTTAAAGAATTTGACATAAACCTTTCCAAAGAGTTGCATAGAAATTCTTTAAAATTAGGTTTTTCTACGTTAAATGGCACCTATTTAACAATGAGAGGCACGGAGTATAGAATTGTTTCATGACAAAATCTATAAAATTGCAGCTTTAATCTGTGGCCAGAGTCTGACAGAATGTTTTATCAAAAATGCTTCTTCGGTTTTTATTCGTGATCATTTCATCTTTGACTCATCGGAAAATCATGAAAATGATGTTTCAATTGTACTCATGGAACATCAGGAAGAAGTCTATTTGGATAGACTGTTATATGACTTAATAGCGTTTGACATTACTAGTACATTCCATAATCAACAGTTAATATATAAGTCGTTTATTGGTAGGCTAATAAGCTTTTTTGAAAGGAGTGATGATGCAAAACTTGTATTGAAGAACATTGATAAAGAAGGTGGAAAAGTAAAAAACGACCATGAATTTCACCGTCATTTCGAGCACCTCATAAGTACTACACCTTTAATAGAAGCAGCATCAGGTGGTAACTTTGATATTGTAAAGTTTTTAATTCTTAATGTAAAATGTAATGTGAATAACACAGACGGAGTAAACAGATCTTCTTTACATAAGGCATCTCAAAGCGGACATTCTTATATTGTCAAACTTTTATTAGAAAACGATGCGGATGTCTCTCAGTGTAACACTTTTGGAGAGTCTCCGTTGTATGTGGCATGTCAAGAAGGACATACAGATATAGTAGATCAATTACTCCAGAACAAAGCTGATGTCTCTCAGTGTAATCATGTTGGAGAGTCTCCATTGTATGTGGCCTGTGAAGGAGGACATACAGATATTTTAATACTATTACTTCAGAACAATGCTGATGTCTCTCAGTGTAGATTTGATGGGGAATCTCCATTATGTGTGGCCAGTAAACGAGGACATACAGATACAGTGAAACTGTTAATGCAGAACAATGCTGATTTCTATCAGTGTAATCATCTTAATCAGTCTCTATTATATGTGGTCAGTAAAAAAGGAGATACAGACACAGTAAAACTGTTACTGCTGAAAAAAGCTGATGTATCTCAGTGTTCCGTTGATAGAGAATCTCCATTGTATGCTGCCAGTGAAGGAGGAAATACAGATACAGTGAAGCTTTTACTGCAGAACAATGCTAATGTTTATCAGTGTAATCTGTATGGACAGTCTCCATTATATGTGGCCAGTAAAGGAGGACATACAGATACAGTGAAGCTTTTACTGCAGAACAATGCTAATGTTTCTCAGTGTAATCTGCATGGACAGTCTCCATTGTATGTGGCCAGTAAAAGAGGACATACAGACACAGTAAAACTGTTACTGCTGAAAAAAGCTGATGTATCTCAGTGTTCCGTTGATAGAGAATCTCCATTGTATGCTGCCTGTGAAGGAGGACATACAGATACAATGAAGCTTTTACTGCAGAACAATGCTAATGTTTCTCAGTGTAATCTGTATGGACAGTCTCCATTGCATGTGGCCAGTAAAGGAGGACATACAGATACAGTGAAACTGTTACTGCTAAACAATGTTGATGTTTCTCAGTGTAAAGATGATGGACAATCTCCATTGTATGCTGCCAGTGAAGGAGGACATACAGATACAGCGCAAGTGTTACTTTAGAACAATGCTGATGTATATCATTGTAATAAGAAAGATGAGTCTCCATTGTATGTGGCCAGTGCAGGAGGATATACAGATACAGTAGATCTGTTACTCCAGAACAATGCTGATATCTCTCAATGTAACTTTGGTGGAAAATCTCCATTGTATGTGGCCAGTGAAGGAGGACATTCACATACAGTGAAGCTGTTACTGCAGAACAATGCTGATGTCTCTAAAGGTAATTCAGATGGACAGTCACCATTGTATGTGGCCAGTGAAGGAGGACATTCACGTACAGTAGATCTGTTACTCCGGGACAATGCTGATATCTCCCAATGTAACTTTGATGGAAAGTCTCCGTTGTATGTGGCCAGTAAAGGAGGACATTCAGAGAAAATGAAACTGTTACTGCAGAACATTGCTGTTTTCTCTAAACTTGTTACCAATAGAAAGTCTCCATTGTATGTGGCCAGTGAAGGAGAATATTCAGATATAGTGAGACTGCTACTGCAGAACAATGCTGATGTCTCTAAAGTTGATAGCGATGGAAAATCTCCATTGTATGTGGCCAGTGAAGGAGGACATTCATATATAGTGGAACTGTTACTTCAGAACAATGCTGATGTATGTAAGTGCAATGCCTTTGGAGAGTCTCCATTAAGTATTGCATGTAAATTAGGTCATACATTGATATCGAAATTATTACTGCTAAACAATGCTGATGTCTGTAAGTATGACCGTAACCACAAATCTCCATTGTATAAGGCTTGTGCATATGGAGATACAGTTATAGTTAAATTGTTACTACAGAATAATGCTGATGTCTCTAAATGTAGCTTAACTGGACAGTCTCCACTATATGTGGCTTGTAGAGGAGGACATATAGACATAGTGAAACTCTTACTGCAAAAAAATACTGATGTTTCTCAGTGTGACAATGATGGAAAGTCTCCATTGCATATGGCCTGCCAAGAAAGATATTCAGATATAGTAGAACTTTTATTGCAAAGCAACGCAGATGTATCCCAGTGTGAAACAGAAAATGGTAATTCACCTCTACATACGGTTTGTAACACGGAATTTTTAACAGTACCCCGAAATGTGTACAACCCAAAATATCAGAGCAGATATGCAAGAAAAATCAAAACTGTAAAACTATTACTTGCATGGAATGCAAATGTTGAAATGTGTAATAAGGAAGGTCAGACACCACTTGATATTGCCCGTACATTTCTATTTTTGGAAATTATTAATCTTCTTGAGGAAAATCACCAATTGAAAGCATCGCAACTAAAGTAACTTTTTCATTAACTGTGGATTTTACAACTGGGGAATAATAGTGTTCATGTAAGAATTGCGTCAGTATAAAAGGACAAACGAATGATTGTGTTGATTATTTTGCATTTTAGTGTTCATACTGTGCATTCAGAAATTATTGTGAGGATTTTATAAATGCAAATAATGCAACTTTTTGATTATCGCAATCATAAAAACTCGTATTATAATGCCAAATACATAATTATATCTGTATGCAGCTTTCCCTAAAATCGCTATAATTGATCTCGCATTTTTGTTCATTCTTCAAAAATTGCAATAATAAATGCAAGCAATAATTTCTGAATTTACAGTACTCTGTTCTTATATGTATGGATTGCACAATCCGGTTGTTACTTTAACAAGTAACTATTTTTGATAGCAAATATCTCTTAGAGGTAAATTTATGAAGAAAAAAAAATGTAATGGTTTTGTGTTTTGCATATCTTATTAAAAAAATAGTTTACTAATACAATATGCATACAATGTGGCCAGTATTGCGTGTAGTGTATTCATTTGATTAATGTATGCATGGAGTATATGTAATTGGTCAGTGTATGGATGGACTGTATAAAATTTGTCAGTATATGTATGGAATGTATGTTATTGGTATATGTTTAGAGTGTATGTAATTAGTTAGTGAATTACAGAGTTGGTATAATTGGTCAGTGTGTAGTATTACTTGAGTGTATATAATAATGTTTGAAGTATATGTTATGAGTTGGTATATGTAACGAGTGTATGTAGTTTGTCCGTATATAAATGTAGTATACATAATTAGTAGTATATGTCTAGACTGTATATAATTGGTCAACACATGTATGGATTGTATATACTTGGTCAGTATACATGTATGTATCGAATGTTTGTCATTGGTCGTTGTATTTTTGGAGTGTATATCATATTCATTATATGTAAAGAGTTTATATAATTGTTCAGTATATATATGGAGTGTTTATAAGTGGTTAGTATATGTATAGAGTGTGTGTTATGAGTCAGTGTATATATGAAGTATATTCAGTTTGTCGGTATAGGCATTTAGTTTATGCAATTGATTTTATATGAAAAGTGTATTGTCAATCAATACGTATCTGCATGTTGTTATATAGATAATGTGTGTCTAATAAGCACTCATATATGTGTGCTGTTATATAAACTTATAGTACATTGATTGAAGTGAAATACTGTGATGTCGAAGTCTAAGAAAAAAATCAATCTTTATTTGATAGAAATCCTGCAAAATCACACATATTTTGCAATATACACACACACATATATATATATATATATATATATTTATGCTACAATTGTTAACAAACAAAATGTTTAGCTTAGGTTTAATTAAGATAAGTTCTATTGTAAATATTTCTACATCTTGTTCTGCATTATAACTTTTCTTTTGAGTTCAATTTTATGTGCATGTATATTAGCAAAAATTAACTCCTCTTTATCAAACATGTAAACCTATTGTTCGCTGTATGTAACTTATATTCTAGTTCGTCCATGATTTGTTATGTAGTTGATTCATATCTAAGAAGACCTCTTTTGTATGTACTTCCATGATATATTTCTACTTATTGTAATGAGTTTCTCCAACACCAACAGATACTTTACCATGAAGTTGTAGTCTAATCGATTTGAAACTTCGCAAAACAGAGGCAAAAGATACCAAAGGGACATCCAAACTCATAAGTCGAAAATAAACTGACAACGCCATGTCTTAAAAAGAAAAAGACCAACATACAAACAATAGTACACAAAACACAGCATAGATAACTAAAGACTGAGCAACACGAACCCCACCAAAAAATTGGGGTAAACATTTTCATTGAGAAGCAAACTTTTAAAATTTGTGTCAAATTATGAATTTGATCTCAATTACACAGTTCACTAAACATGGACGATTCTCATTTTAGAGTTTTTTGTAAAGGTAGTTAACCATGAAGTTGTGGAAACATCAAATTAAAATCGTCTCCTCTGCAATACTGTGCCGACTTCAAAAAATCTTGGCCACACCATCATTGGGGTATCAATAAACGAAACTCACGATATTCCAGGGCTTGTTTTTCCTATCATGATTTCCTGGATAGAGGGTTGCTGCTCCCAAGGAATCTATTAATCCAAGAGCTCCAAGTGATGAAGTTGAAATCATCCCTTCGTACATGTTACGGACGCCATCACAAGTTGGTTGACCGTTATGGAATATCCGTTTCACAGATGATAGCGGATATGTTCCAATTGTCGTAACTACAATCCCGTCCCCTCTTCTCCGAATGTGACCTACCGAATTAGACTTATTACCGGGTTTGTAATAACATGAGCAACACGACGGGTGCCACATGGGAGAAGGATCTGCTTACCCTTCTGGAGCACCTAAGATCACCCCAGTTTTTGTGGGGTTCGTGTTGCTCAGTCTTTAGTTTCTATGTTGTTTGTTGTGTACTGTTGTTTGTCGGTTTGTCTTTGTCCTTTTTTAACCATGGCGTTGTCAGTTTATTTTTTACTCATGAGTTTGAATGTGCCTTTGGTATCTTTCGCCTCTCTTTTATTTTCTACACGGGCAGAAATGTTCAAAATTTTGAGATTTATTATATTTTATAACATGCTGCATTGAACCGTGCAGGATCTGTTCATTGTTGAATGTACATATGGTTGTGTTTTACTAATTGTGTTAAATAGTATCAAATAGATACGCATATATTTTTCTCTCTCTTATATTGTATTAACATTAATAATGGTATAAACATAGAATTGTGCTGAGTCATTTTTTTTAATCATAATCAAGTTTACAACTGTCACAACTCAATCAAATCTAATTGATATAAAGTCTATCTTTTTATTACAAATCAATGATTAGATTTATACATGATAAAATTGCTGACACATGGGTGATACGAACAAAGAGAGGCAACTTTAATACGCCTGCTTTTCCATGTGCATCTATTGCTCCGAACATGCAAATTTAACACACCGAAAGAATTTGCTGGAATCGCCCTTGCAAACATGTACATATGTACATGTACATATACAGAAGTGGTATATAACTACGTTGGAAGTTTAAAGAAAGCGTGTTCTCTTAATTTTACATTCATAACAAAATCCCTTACATTATCAAACCAATAACTATTTAGATACTTTGACCTTTATCTTAACAGTATTACAGACAACTAATACAGTATATTGAAACTATTTAGAAGATTTAAGCCTCATATATGATAAGGATTAATATGATTTTGAAATTTATTTCGTACGTAAACGACACTGCATAATCAGTCTGTAAAGCGGGTTCGTATTTATATACATGTTTTCTGACATATATACCTATGTCAAAATTGTAATGTATTGTATTTCATGTACATGTACTGTAGAATAAAATAAAATCTATGTATCTACCAACTGTCCATTTTAATCAAAACCGTCTGATGAATTTGTATAGGATTTATTGCAATTTAATGACGAATTTTAATAATGTTTTTATGTGTGTATTTTTGCCTATTATATTTAAAATCATAATTGATAGAGAATGATTTGAATAGTATCAATGATCAGCAAGACAGGATCTACAAATAAGCCAGCATGTTTTTAATCGTCATTTGACTCTTTATTGGAGTTATTGCCCTTTAATGTGGAATTTTATCAATTTTTTGTTTGTGTTGTTGCCTTAATCTTGTAAACCATGGTAGATAGAAACTGCAAACATTATTATAAAAGACAAAATATACAAACAAGTGAAAATGGTCCAATCGTCAGTCAACTTCTTATCGGAGTTGTTGCTCTTTAATAATGACTTTTAAGAACTCTTTGCGTGTCTGCCTCTCATTTAATTTAAATTGCAAAAACGATCAACAAGCCAAGAACTACAAATAAGTGAAATGGCCAAAATCGTCAGTTGGCCCCTTATAAGAGTTAGTGCCCTTAAATGACAATTTTAAAAAACAAGATCAGCAAGACAAGTTCCGCAAATAG